TAATCCTCACAACCACTTTATGGTATCCTATTTTCTAGTCCCATTTTCACAGATAGAGAAACTAAGACCAGAGACACTGATTTGTCCACAGTCAGAGTTAGTGTGTGGCAGAACTAAGATTCAGATGTTTTCCTCTCTGGCAGAATCTAGCAACTGTGTTCTTAAAACTGCTCTACAATGTCTCACAAACAGGACCTGAATGTCTATGCTCATGCTGTCTAGCTCTGTGATCTTGGCAGAATCAGTTAAATTCTCTGAATTTCAGTTTCTTCATCTATAGAATGGGGCAATATCCCTTGACTCATAGGGATGTTGGGAGAATTAAATGGAATAGTATAGGTAAAACACTAGCATAATAGTTGACCCAGAGATGATGGCTGTCAAGTACTTTCCACTACTTCTACTTCCTCATCTGTATCAGGGATAACTGCCTTCCAAGTTGGCTAGAACACCAAGGGTCTAGGAATCCTGGAAATGCTAAAAACAGTGCAGCGAAGATGCCCTTTCCTGCCTGTGTACTGTGTCATCTGCCTGGAATGTTCCTTCTTGTCCACTCCATCTGCAAGCTGTAAATCATGACTACTTGTGAATTATTGAATCAAGTTAATGAACTGTGATCTTCATTTTAAAAAAAGAGAGAGCAGCAAATATTATAAAATGGAAAATAACAAAGTACACTGTACATAAAAAGTGTTAGTATTATTTAACAAAAATTTTCCTCTGGTTCATTTGTGTATTTATTTACTGGGTCATTATAAAGAATGTATCTCTTACTTTGGGTCCAAAGATTTGAAAGGCTCTGGGTTAACTCATACAAGACCTTCAAGAATTAATTCAGATATCCCTGCATTGGGAAGCAATCAAGATTCCAGAACGTTGTAGGGCTAACTTCGGTCTTTTCATATCACACTGCATGTAATTATCTTCGTCTCATCTGTCTCCCCACTACACATGAGTTTCTTGTGGGGAGGAAACATTGCTGTTACTGCTTGGTCCCCAGTGTCCATTATGGGTCCTGGCACAGAATATACACTCAACAAATGCTTGATGTGTGCACGAATAAATGATAGCAACTGATTCTTAAACCCACATTCACAACAGAGAGGTTATATGCTTGAACTCCCAAAATCAATATATTTTATTAACAAATGAACATGGGCCAAGTTTTTCTTTTACCTTCTTTGTTCTGACCTTGTATTCTCCCCCCATTGGTGGACTGACTTGCTATTCTTTCTTGCCCTCCCCATTCTCCCTGGGTACTCTGGCTTTCCTTCCTCAAAAGAAAGGATTGTTCTTTAGACATCTGCATTTTTTTGTGTGGGAATTTAATCCCCTATATCTCAGATCTTTCTTAGTAGCATTTAAATATAAAGGAGTATTCTGATTTGTAGCAGGAAAAGCCTTGCTCTCTATTATACCAGCTGTGTACAAGCTGGTAGGTAAGAAGGGAAGGACATATTTTAGAGGCAGGGAGATCTTCACGAGCTCATAAACACTTTACCTAGGTAGTTGCCTACTCTCTCTGCCCACGTGGAGAGAGCCTCGAAATACATGCAACAAAATCCATATTCTAGTAGCTCAGGAGCCTAAGTGCGTCTATGTTTGAACAATTGATAATGTACTTGTGGAGCATTTTGAGAAAACATTTTATTCATATTTTTAACACTTTATTTGCTTTTAAAATTTGACAACTATATGTTTCACAATGTAAGAAATACACAATACAAGTAGCACATTAAATCAACATATCTAAATCATGCCATAGAACACGTACAGTATTATCATTAGTAACGATCAATTTCATTTGTACAGCACTACCAAAGTACTTCAAGCACCTCACACAAAAGATTAAAAGAAGGAAAATCATTATAATTAGATTGGAAAATGGAAAAGGTTGGTTCAAATTCCGAACATTTCCTGGCTCAAATAGTGCTGGTTACCTCTCCCTCCCTTCAAGATTTCAGGCAAACAAATCACTACCATCTGGGAGGATCATTTCTAGTGAGGGAATGAGACCACCTTCTGCAAGATCCTGAGAAGATACATCCTCTCTGACACTGCCAGGACCAGGGCTAGGGTTAGGAGTGTGAATGTGAGTGTATATGCGTGTGTATAGGTGTGTGTGTGAGAGAGAAAAGAGAGAGAGAGAGAAGAGTAGAGAAGGTAACTCCAAGGGGAAGAGTGGTTTTATGCTGCAGGCAAATATTTACTAAGTCAGCTAAACTGGTTATCACAGAACAAAGAAACTGCTTGTTTTCTAATTTAGGTTTTGGCTTCATGGAAAAATATGAATAATACCAAGGAAATCCCGTATGTTCTATAGCACAATTTATCCTATATAGAAAGCCCAAAGAAGTTTGTGTTTGAACTTCTCCTCTCAGCTAACCTATTCCTTAATCTAAGAGTCCAAGGCTGTGCTGATAGAGGCAGATCAGGAATCACAGTTCAAGTGCATTCAACAGCTGACATCACATAGCTAAGTCTTAGGGAGGTGGAGCAATGTGGGGAGAAGCATGGGAGTGTGACAGGAGATCTGACTTTGCCACAAATAGCTGTGGGAGCCCAGGCAAGTCTCTTCTCTCTTGAGGCCTGTTTCTTCTTCTGTAAATTATCAGTGGACCTGATGATAGCTAAGGTTCCTCCAGCCCTAGAATTACATAAAGCTAAGCAAAATGAGGAGACCAATACTCCAGTCATTCCCAGATTAAAGAGATATGCTCATCATCTTATATTTATGTAATCAGAGGACAGAGCAAGTAGTTGACTTTCTAAAATAAGCACAACCAACTGGCACTGGTCCTATTTGAGCGCTTTAGATAAAACAAGCACCTCAATGAAAATCCTATAGCCAAAATCGGCATATATATATATATAAAAAAAGACAAAGGTATATACCTGCTGAATCCATTTTGGTAAAGATTTCATTTAGGCCTTGCTAGTTCATTTCATGTTCTTGCTTTTTTTTTTTTAATTTTCTGGTCTATTTTATCACATCACATGAGAACAAGGCCAGGAGCTCTTGTAAGATTTTTCCATCTGATTTGACTATATGTATGGATCGTATTTCTTCTAATTCTATGTCTCTGAAGTCAGCCCTCTCAGTACTCAATAAATATTAATAATTGAACATTTGGAAACCAAACACCATATTTACATACTGTAAAGCTTCCATTTGGGGAACTTCCCATGAAGTGTCAAGTATTTTTGAGTCTCATTTTAGAAAGGTTCTTCCTTTCAATACAATCTCCAACTATTGTTTTATTACTTTAATTCTTCATCTTTCTATATATTATACTTTTTTTTTTGCCATTTTAGGACATAAATATTTGATTCTAATTAACACTACTCTTTCAAATAAGTGTATTAGTTTTACATAATATCATCATATCACTTCCTTTAATTTTCCTAGTCTTACATACCTTAATTAAAAGCTATTACCAATATATTTTCAGCAAATTTCTTCTAGTACATTAATAACATTTTATATACTCTATTTTTTAATAAGATACCAACAATTTGGTAATTTTTCCTTCCAGTTTTATTCTATATAATCATTTTAATTGCATTAGCTAATTTATCCTATTAACCCAGTTGGTTTTTTTCAATTTTCTACTCAAGACTAAAATATTTCAAGATTTTAAAATATTTTGCATCATGAAGACCAGCAGTACAACACAAGTGAGGAGAATAGAAATAGCCACCGATGGGGTTGTTAACTTTCCGTCGTATTTGTGATGTCACTACAAGACATATTCTAGCGTGGTTCTTGATAGTTTTTTTCATAGATTATAATGAAGTGTATCAATGATCTTCTGAAATGCAGTTGGCCAAATCTGGATGGTAAATAGTCTGTTTGATTGTTTTTTTATCTCAGGGCTTCTGAGGTGCTGGAACTCCATGGAGTAAGAAAGGACTCTATGCTTGTCAGACTGGCCAGCAAATTAAGGCCCTTGAGAACCTGTGCCTTCCACAATCCTGCTCTCTTCTTGCCCCTCCTGTGCCTACCTAATACACACAAAACATAACTTTACAGCCAAAGTGGAACCAACAGGACAAGTTCAACTCAAGTACATCATTTAGCATCTATGACACGTATCTCATGCCAGGAAAAGAAAGTGAAATTTTAGGTAAGGAGGATATGACCTCAGGTTCCAGAGTGGGCAATGGAAAATGGGCATGGTTCCTCTGTGTGGTACATAGATTCATTTTGACCATTAATTGGGCATCACTGTCTCCTTTTGGTTATTAGCACTTACATTATTTTAAAAAGTACAGTCAGCATTGAGGAAGTTTGGGAGTGATGTAGGATGCTTGTGCAAGGAAAGGAAGCATGTTATAGTTGAGTGTTGATGGATCTCACTCCAAAGGTAGCTACAGGGATGAAAGACTAGAAGGCATTTCAGGTTCAATCAATTATTTTTTTCTGGTGAATTAAAGAGTTTTGGTCAGTCAATGAATGAACAAGTAACTTTGATGGTGTGAGAAACAGTTGGTAACCCTATGACACAGAAGAAAGTCTTTCCACCAAGACTTTTTAGAACAAAATACATAACTCTTTAGAAGAATACTGCTGATATCAAATCAATAAACCAAAGCCAATGCAATCAATATCAAGCGGGTTAGGAGATGATACAGGTGTATTTTCTTTTCAGACAGATGGTGAACAAATGTCCAGGGCTTTGGTCCATGTATTCAATTTAAGATTTATCAGAAATGAAAACGTCTCTTCTTGTTTTTTTTATTGCAACCTATTCTAAGAACTTTACCCTGGATTATAACATTGTTGAAGAATAATTTGATAAAAGCAGGCACCTTTAATTTAGCCTAATGACATTTCAAAAATTTCCTCCAAATGGTTAAACATAAGGTTTTTCAATAGTGCATTGATGAGCATGGGTTAATTAGAACACAAATTCCATTGTTACAAGGTGTGGCCTTTCTTTTCTCAGCGGGATTGCTCACAAAGTGTAGATCAGAGTAAGAAATATTCCATCACCTACCTGACGTAGAGGGAGCGTTTCTGATTGGTTCGCAGGGACCCAGACCCGGAGCTCATACTGTGGTTCATCATCTGCTCTCGTAGGTCATGGATTTTGGCCTCAAATCGAGCGTAATCTGGGAATGGAAGGAAAGGTGGCAAATTTGGTTCTGTACCTTGAAAGAGTTAGAAATGCTGCACAGCCAAGTCAGCCCCTCACTGTTGTTGATTCCTTTGCTGAACAACAGGAGATGCACAACTCAAGAAGGATACGCTTAGTTACTATTATTTATTCACAGACATTCACAAGAAGAAAAAGAGAAATCAGTTACTTCTCAAAAGTTACCTAGAAAACACGCTGCCGTCAAATTCACAACTTGTGAAAAGTCCATGGAGGGAGGGGGCGATGAGAGAGGATGGGGGAACATGGGAAGGGAGGGAGATGGGTGTGACTATAAACAGGTAACACAAAGTATCCTTGTGGTGATGGAAATGTTCTCTATCTTGTCCGTAGTAGCGGACATATGTAACTGCACATGTGATACAATTACATAGAACTAAACACATACAGGAATACACACACACATACACACAAATGAATACAAGTAAAAATGGGAAAATTTAAATAAGATTGGTGGATTGTGTCAACGTCAATATCCTGGTTGTGCTAATGTGCTATAGTCTTGCAAAATGTTACTATTGGGGGAAACTGAGTAAATGACACATAGGATCTCCCTGTATTACTTCTTACAACTGCATGTGAATCTACAATTATCTCAAAATAAAGGTTTAATTTCTGAAGAGAGAGAGAGAGCAAGTGTGCGTGTACCTACAAAAAAAGTCCATGGTATTTCCAACACTGTGGTATATTGGAGCGTCTCTAGTTACCCCTAGCCTGACAGACCAGAGAATCAAGTGGTTAGTGATGAATTGTATAAGAAATGACATCTAATTTAAGTAAGTTTTTTCTGGGGTGATGGCTGCCAGAAATTGACCACTTAGGATTATACCTATATTTTTCCTCATAACTTTGTCCACATGCCAAATTTCATCAATTCTAAGATGCACAATATATTTAAATAATCTCAGGAGACTGGGGTTAAAAATGGGGGTAGAAAACACTACCACATTAAATACATTTAGAAATATTCAAACTGGAAAATATAAATGGGTATAAAAAATCAAACAAATATAGGTATCACTGTTATTTCTTCATAGGAAAAATACTTTTGCCATGTCAATCCAATAAAAATAAATCAAGCACAAGTAGGTTTTAAGATACTTATTAACACAAAAAGGACACAAAAAGAAATAGCTTTTGAAGTTTTAATTTTTTTTTTTTGGAGAGAGAGTCTCACGCTGTTGCCCTGGCTAGAGTGCAGTGGCATCATCATAGCTCACTGCAACCTCAAACTCTTGGACTCAAGCAATCCTCCTGCCTCAGCCTCCCAAGTAGCTGGGAATTTTTCTAATTTTTGTAGAGACGAGTATGAAGTTTTAATATTTTTTAATCACAACATAGAAATTTTTCTCTCATTTCCTTGGCAGAACAGTGTCTTGCTTTAGGAAAATTTAGTAGGCTTAATTTACAGATAAATTTGAAAATGTTAATTCAAATTATAAATGGTGTTTTTAATAACAAAAAAACTCACCATGAAGAATTTTAATAGAGGTTCTGAGTACATTTCAAAAAACAATTTGATTTTCAGTTCAATTTATTCACAGTGTTCATGAAAACAAGGATGACTAAATGAATATAATAAAAGATGATCTATTTACAGAGTGTTTCAAATTCTTTATGACAAAAAGTTCCATAAAATTAAATTTAATTTCAATTTACTGAATATCTATTGGTCATTGTAAGGACAGCTTTCCTAAAAGATTTGACCTTGGTTTTCAATAATAAATAGACAACAGAATAATAAACTCCAAATGTTAAATATTTTTAAAGTTTAGTACTCTTAAGATAAAGCCATGAGTTGGATGGAAATTTCTGGTGCTTAAGCAAAGTCTGGTATAATCTATATTTGGAAAGCTTCCTGTTAAAACTTAGTTTTGAATAATTAAATCCTAAATGATTAATTAAGCAGAACACATATTTAACCACCTAATTGACCTAAGATCTATTGACCATAATTTAAGAAAATTTATTTCATTCCATTTTACTTCAGAGAGAAAGCACTTATTTATAACCATCGATATGATACTGTATGCAGATTTAAATCATGTTGAACAAGTCATATTTTCTTGCCACCCTAAAAGAGTCAATTAACATTTAGTGGTAGCCACATGGCAGACAGTATGCTCAGTGCTTGTTTCACGGGCATTATCTCATTTCTTTTTTAAATTACAAAGTGAAGTCCATGGATGCTGTAAAAATTTGAACAATATAGAAAAACACGGAATAAAAATTGAGAGGCTGTCTTGTCCTGTCTACCCTCCCCTCCTTCTTCTCTTTCTTCTCTCACTGCTTCCCTTCCCTACAGCTTACCCCAGAGGTACAGCTATGGTTGTGTGCTGGACATATTTGTGTGTGTTTACACACACATACTCCCCCCGACATGAGATTATGCTAAGACTTTTTTTTCCCCTTTTTAACAGCGTAACTGGATCTTTTTCCACCACCTACCAAACACATAAATACCATCTTTCTTAATATCCTTAATTGTATTCCATAGTTTAGTTAACAATTCCCTGTCATTAGATATTTAGGCTTGTCTAACTTTTTGCTGTTATAAACAGGGATCTCTGTGTATCTGTGCACTATAAGGCAGGTTAGTAGAGCACTGGAAGTGGAAGTTGTGGTCACAACTTTGCACAAAAATCATATAACCTCTATTGGTATTTCTCAGAGAAGAAAATGATCTTGTCTGGGACACAGAGCAGGAACTCTTAGCTGCTTCTGATCCATGCTCCACATTGCCACTTGCTACATATCACATGTTGACTCCCATCTAGACAGGCAGGACTCTCTCCTTTACAACTTCAATGATTTCACTACCCATGATAAAAGCATGAATTCCCACCCTTCAATTGTCTGCCCTTAAACATCTAAGTTAGAGCCCCCAACTCTCATTTAACCACTTTGCTACTTTATTGCGTTTATGACACCAACTTGCAGTTACTTGTGCAGTTGTCTATCTTTCTTGTTAGACTGAGCGCCCTGAGGGCAGAAGCTATTTCTCATTCTCCTTGGAATTTCCTGTTCCTAACACAGCGTCTGATGTGCAGGAAGGCATTTTATAATAGGTGCTCAATGAACATTTTCTGAATGAATGAAAAATGAATGAGGGAGTGAGCAGAATCTTTAGATGAATTCAGTCATAAAATGGCTGCAGGTACTGAAACTGCCCATTTTCAATGCTATGTTTTTGCAGTGAAGAAAGACAACATGCATCTTCTCTGGTACTAGTTTTTTTAAGACAAAATGTTCTAATCCCAAGGCTTTATTTCTGTCAAATCACTGCCACTTCCAAATCCCATTGTTATTTTTATTGTTCTCTAGAAGATTTCTGTGATCTCATTTTAGTCATGATGTACATTGGAAACAGTTCTCTGATACTTAAGGTATGTAATACATACAATCAACACTTTGTTAGGCTCTTGTAGCTGCCATATTTTATGTAACACAGCAGGATATTTGCCTTAATAAAACATTGTATTTGCCTTACTGCATGATTCATTAGATACCCAAGATGATTCCTGCCATGCTTTCTAAATGTTTGGTCTGTATAATATTCTATGGTGTTTAAATTCTTCACTATGGATGATTTATATTGAATTTGCCTTAATTGGAATCCATTCTGTTTTCAACTTCCCTACTTTGACAAACATCTTCATCACAGATCCTGTGTTCAAAGGTGCTTATCCCTCTCTTTGCCCCTTTTTTGAAAAATAAAATAAACATAGGTATAAGTAATTTCATCAGGGCAAAAACAATAAAATCTGGGATTACAAATATAAATGGGATGTGTGTGGCAGGGAGCTCTGTCTCCAACTTCTCAGAGATAAACAAGTTTATAGTTAGAAATGCATTAGAAATAAACAGGCAACCAACTATATAACCTGTGAAATATAAATCTCTATGTTTTATAAAAGTACTAAAAATTACAGTTTCTAGCAAGTTAAAACAGAAAAACCTAACACTACCATATCCATTTAATATTAATCCCCTCTCTCTTCCTCTAATGTTTTGCTCATACCTATGCTCTCCCCTTCGGAATATTTTTCAATCACATTTCTACCACTTTCTTGATTCCAAATCTCAGGAGAACATTCAAATGAGATTTTAAAATGCTCCAATCTTTCTATCATTTAAAGGGGAATTCATGTTTACTGAACACCTGCAAGGGACTAGGATCTACACTACATATATTAAAAATTATATTATTTCTCCTAAGAAAGTTCTGAGATAGGCATATTATTTTAGAGATGAGAAAACAGAGGTTCAGAGATGTTAATTAACTTCACCAAAGTCACAGAGCTACTAGGGAATAGAGCTCATTGGACATTGAGCTAGGATTCAACCCTGGATCTCTGTGACAACATTTTGTTTCCATTACATCACAACAACCTATTATAACACAACAATTCTCCTTTAGAATAAGAGGCCTCCTCAATTCTCTACTCCTCCCTCTTGATATCTTGCTCTTCCTTTCATCTACTGTATTAGTTATGTGCATTTCTTCTATTGTGCCATAAGCTCCTTAGAGAGTTGGCATGCTTCACTCATCTGTTTCCAACCCTTGGAGTCTATGATTCTACCTTCCGTATACCCAGGGCTCTACTAGGTGCCTGGCATACAGTTTTTAACAAGATGGAACCTGAAGAATTTGTGTCCAGAATGGGACACTGACAAGAAAACTAAACATGATAATGCTGAGGTGGAGAACAATATTAAAGTAGGGGCACTTTATTCTGTCTTGCTTTGCATGAAATGGGTGTCTGGCAAATACTTTTTAAAGTACAAGTTATTTTATGTTTTTTAGGGTTGTCTTCTGTAACAAGAAGCAAAGCACTGAAACCCAACTCCTAGGCAAATGTTTTAGAGGAGCTTCATAAAAACATTACCACCAGCTAGTTCTTTCTCCCCCTCTATATACGATAAGCCATTTTTTCCTTCCACATTCTTGAGTAT